ACATGTACTGGGAGAAAAAAAAATATTTCAGTGATCAAGATACCATGACGATAACAGTAACCACTTATATGACATTTATTTATTGGAGTCAAGGAAATAAACAGGAATACTAGTCCTGTGTTATTTTAAATGGTAAATTAACATGGTGTTCTTCTTAATGCTAGATCTCTGCCACAAGCCCTGGTGCAAGCACTGACATAAATGTTAAGAAAATTGCAAGTATTGGTGATGTTTGTGAATCTATGAAACAGCAGCTCTTAGTCTTGGTGGAATGGGCGAAATATATTCCTGCATTCTGTGAATTACCATTGGATGATCAGGTATAAGGCTGAACATTACGAATGCTGTAAAATATGTTTTGCTAAATTTTTGTGTTCTTGTAATTATATTTGTAAAAGAATCACTCTATTTTAAAAGGTTAATGTATTTTTCAAATTATGTTTATGGTGGCAATGGTGACAAAGGTGGCTTATATTATTTCTTATCTTTTGGAGGCGGGGGTGAGATGTTTAAATCTCTTTAAATGTAAACTTACACACCATGTTCATCACCAGTGTCCCAGTAATTCACAGTGTTCCATTAGAAAAACACTGGTTTTCTTTTCTATCTTGTGCTAGTTCTAATTCTATCAAGGGTTACAATTGTTTAACTTCTATTGTAAATGTCCTGCAAATTTATTGATTGACTGAGAGTTGAAGAATCACTGTTTTTTCCCTTTGAATTAAAAGAAAAGAAGAATTTTGCAAGGGAGAAAGATAGCAAATAGTCATTATAAGACAATAGATTGAACATGTAAAGATCTGGAAGGCAAATGGCACACTGCCACTGCTGTGTCTTCATGTTACCTGAAAGTTCCATATGAAATCAAGGACATCACTCTTAAGAAAACACATAGGTCATGTTGGTGTTTTTTGAGGGGATACATTATATAGTTAACATAAATATTTTGCCTTTAATGTTGTCAATTTTATTCTAGCATTTACTATATAAATAGAAATTACAGGTTGGGCAAAAAAAAAAAAAAAAAAGATGTCTGCAGAATTGCCCTCTGTGATCTATAGAGAAATGTTGACAATTAAAATTTAATGATGCTTTCCTAAAACATATATTGTCTTGCCTTGTCATATGTACATTGAGACATTTTAATTAAAAGCTATGAACTTGAATTTTCTAGTCTAATATGATTATATTACTAGTTTCGATTCAGATTCACTCAGTACTCTTCCATCTGCATAATACATAATTTTTTTATAGATGCAAATACCTTGAAAATTTGCAGTCCCCTCACATTGAATAAGCCATGGTATAGATCTTATATAACATTTGTTTTTTACACCTCTAACCTATGCTTTCTATCACTGCTACACAAAAACAAAAACTAGTGAGTGGAAAGGGACATGATTATTTAAAAATCAAAATAGGGCAAAATATTTACACAACCAGGGAAAAAATAATCACAGGAAGTCAGCAGTTCGATTTCCAGGAGAGCATTCACCTGGTGATAGAAAAAAATATCTGTGATTTGAAATCATTCTTAAAATGTTCTGTAAGCGCCTTCCTGGTATGAATCATGATTATTGACATATCATAAAGATAGCCTGGCTCAGAAGGTTATTTCAGATGAATAATGCTAAATTGCTAAAATCTACTTGTCTCACCTCAAGCAATATAAGTAAGGCTATGTTATTTATCAGTTTTATATTTTTATTATCCTTACATTTTAGAAGTTGCTGACATGTATAAAAACAATGCTTTATAAATTAGGAAATTGAAATCCAGTAACTGGTTATAAGTATTTTTTATTTACTAACTGAGCCTTTAATATTAGCAATACAACAATAACAGCTATGAGTTGGTGAATGTCTATTATAGCTAAGGCACTGGGGAAGTAACTTTTTTTTTTTTT